ACACCAGACGCACCACAAAGGTAGCCTGCCACCACCCAACAGTTTATCCACAGAACGGTCTGTTGAGACACCACACACACACAGATCTCCGTCTGGCAGATCTGTTACCTTTGCAATCTGCGTGCAATCTGCCCACTCACAGTGCAGTTGCATACAGATTGGCAATGAGCTTAACCGAGTGTTTTAAAGGCACTAAAATACAATACAATCTAACCCAATCTAATCTCTCCGATCTAGTCTCTCCGAAGATATGAGCACGTGCTTAAATACACAGAAGTTCACTAATTAATTTTTTAAGATTTCATTTCCCAAAGTGGGCAGTGCATAAAATATGTACAAAAGATAAAAAGTTACACAAATACAAAAGATATAAGAAGACACACAAATGACTAATTACTATAAAATAAAAGGGAATAAAAAGACAGAATAACACTTTACCCTGCGGCTGGAGCAAGCCAGAAACTTAGCAATACATTGGTCGATCGAACCAGCTCCGTACGGATCACCAATGTCCAAATGTCCGTGCGTTCAATTTATTGCGATTTGGACATGGACGGTACATTAGTCTTCTGCCAATTGACTCTGGGGGAGGTGGTCCTGACCTGCCCACAAGAGGTACTGTGTCTGGACCTGCCCAAGTTCAATTGGGCTGAGACTGGCCTGAACACCAAGTCGGGGATTGGATTTCTGACACCAGCGCGTCAGCCCGATCGCGACAGTACCAAACACCATCCGAATGTCGCACCCCCGCGTCATCTAACCATTCCATGCATTTCCCTGGCTTCCTCCCCAAGCCACAAATATGATTCTTATATGCAAATGTAGCGTACAGAATGGCCTGCACAAAGGAAGCTTGTTCATATCTCTCCAACTAATATTTCAGCTTTTATAAGAGATTAAACATGCTCCTTTGATGAATACATAAACCTGCCCTCCTCTCTCCTATAACAAATTCCTAAACAGGTTTTCCCAGCAGGTGATAATCTCATTAACACAAAGGTGTCACCTCCAGGAGACGGGGCTTTAGGCTAATTAACGCTAATTGATGCTAAATGATGATTGAGTCTGTAAGGCCTATGGAGTAATTGTGTATACATACACATCTGTATCCTAGACCATTTGTTTGTACCTTCTATTCATTTCCCTCCATATACATCCTTAATGGAATGAGTGTTTGTTCCTGAACACACATTTGCAATGAAAGGGCCTGGCCTAATCTAATCTACCTGTTATGGCTATGATACCATATTTCCACTCAAATCTTACATGCCGGTTACAATAAATTTTACATGTCCGTTACACGCCTGTCTAATGCCCGTACTAAAGCTCATTACCATCTGTCTACCGCCCGTACTAAAGCTCATTACCGCCTGTCTAATGCCCGTACTAAAGCTCATTACCGCCTGTCTAATGCCCCTACTAAAGCTCATTACCGCCTGTCTAATGCCCGTACTTAAAGCTCATTACCGCCTGTCTACCTACCCTACTAAAGCTCATTACCACTCCTGTCCGCCTGTTTAACGGCCCTACTAAAGCTCATTACCACCTGTCTAATGCTCATACTAAAGCTCATTACTGTCTAACGCCCATACTAAATCTCATTACCGCCTTGTCTAATGCTCATACTAAAGCTCATTACCGCTAAGTCATGCCCATACCGAAGCTCATTACTGCCTAAACGTCCGTACTAACGCTCATTACTGCCTGTCTAACGCTCGTACTAAAGCTCGTTAACGTCTGTCTAATGCTCATACTAAAGCTCATAACCGCCTAACTCCCGTACTAAAGCTCATTACTGTCTAACGCCCATACTAAAGCTCATTACCGTCTGTCTAATGCCCGTACTAAAGCTCATTACCATCTAACGCTCTTTACCGCCTGTCTAATGCCCATACTAAAGCTCATTATCTGCCTAACGTCCATACTAAAGCTCATTACTGCCTGTCTAACGCTCGTACTAAAGCTCGTTACCGTCTGTCTAATGCTCATACTAAAGCTCATTACCGCTGTAACTCCCATACTAAAGCTCATTACTGACTAACTCCCGTACTAAAGCTCATTACCGTCTGTCTAATGCCCGTACTAAAGCTCATTACCGTCTGTCTAATGCCCGTACTAAAGCTCATTACCATCTAACGCTCTTTACACCGCCTGTCTAATGCCCATACTAAAGCTAATTATCGCCTAACGTCCATACTAAAGCTCATTATTGCCTGTCTAACGCCCGTACTAAAGCTCTTTACCGCCTGTCTACCGCCCGTACTAAAGCTCTTTACCGCCTGTCTACCGCCCATACTAAAGCTCTTTACCGCCTGTCTACCGCCCATACTAAAGCTCTTTACCGCCTGTCTACCGCCCATACTAAAGCTCATTACTGCCTGTCTAACGCCCGTTACTAAAGCTCTTTACCGCCTGTCTAATGCCCGTACTAAAGCTCTTTACCGCCTGTCTACCGCCCATACTAAAGCTCTTTACCGCCTGTCTACCGCCCATACTAAAGCTCTTTACCGCCTGTCTACCGCCCATACTAAAGCTCTTTACCGCCTGTCTACCGCCCATACTAAAGCTCTTTACCGCCTGTCTAACGCCCATACTAAAGCTCTTTACCGCCTAACACCCATACTAAAGCTCAATACCGCCTGTCTACGTCCATACTAAAGCTCATTGCCGCCTAACGTCCATACTAAAGCTCATTACCGCCTAACGCCCATACTAAAGCTCATTGCCGCCTAACACCCATATTAAAAAAACTTATTACTGCCTGTCTAACGTCCATTACTAAAGCTCATTACCGCCTGTCTAATGCCCATACTAAAGCTCATTACCGCCTGTCTAATGCCCATACTAAAGATCATTACCGCCTAACGCCCATACTAAAGCTCATTACCATCTGTCTAACGCCCATACTAAAGCTTATCAACGCCTGTCTAAGGACCATACTAAAGCTCATTATCGCCTGTCTATTACCCATACTAAAGCTCATTACCGCCTGTCTATTGCCCATACTAAAGCTCATTACCGCCTAACGCTCTTTACCGCCTGTCTAACGCCCATACTAAAGCTCATTACCGCCTGTCTAATGCTCATACTAAAGCTCAACCGCTAACATTACCGTACCGCCTGTGTCCAACACCAGTACTAAAGCTCATTACCGCCTGTCTAATGCTCATAACCTTCTGTCTAACACCCATACTAAATCTCATTACTGCCTGTCTACCACCCATACTAAAGCTCATTACCGCCTGTGTAATGTCCATACTAAAGCTCATTAACCATTCCCTGGCCACCGATAGTCTCCTCAGCTCCCCATCTTCCCAACTATTTATGGGTTGGTCTCACCTCTCTACCAGGGCCTCCAAACCTGGCATTGGTTTGGCACGTCCTCTTCCTCCATAGTCACTGTGACATCTTTTATCTCCAGCACATGATGACACACACATATATAGTATGGGAACCCAGATTAACCCCTTCAGGGCCAGAACATTCCCCCCAATCAGTCGCGCTCAGGGTACAAAATATACAATCATAAACATGCAGATTAGGTCTCCACCTCTTCTACCCACTGGCTTCTGGAAGGTTCCATGGTCCTCTAGAACCAGGTGGAAGTGATATAGACCCAACTTGTTAAGCTATCCAACCTGACCTGAAGTAAGCCGACCTTATTACAGACTCACACAGTTACCATGAGTCATACACAATAAATGTACCTACACTACCCTATTAGCACCCTAGAGGGTACTACACTGGGATGATGCCTGCAGGGACAGGCATCTTCCCAGTATACACACTAAAACCATAGAAATACTATAAGATGTCCTACGGGCAGCAAGTGGTTGAATAAATGTCGCCTGACATTTAGAGGTCTATTCACAGAAAATTGTATAGCAATTTATATGGTGCAAGTGCATGCACATTTCTTCAGTGTGACTGCAGGTAAGAAAAAAAAACAAAAACAAATAAACCATGTCTGACATGGTAAACTAAGGAGTCTACCAGGGCCTCCAAACCTGGCATTGGTTAGACCTCCATAAACATGCAGATTAGGTCTCCACCGCCTCCACCCACTGGCTTCTGGAGGGTTCCATGGTCCTCCAGAACCAGGAGGAAGTGATATAGAGTCTCAACTTGCTAAGCTATCCAGCATGGCAAACTAAAGAGTCAATATATAGACAATTTGTTGGTCAGGCTTTTGACCAATTGTGATAAATTCGGGAAGTTTTTTAGTTAACACTGTGATTTCCTATAATAGTCAGCTCTAGCTAATGGCCAAAATGGAGTATTGTTCCAGAAATACCCCCTATCAGGAAAAAGATGAATACGGCATTGTGGATACAGATGGAGCCAATGGTCATAGGAAAAGGACCAACATTTGTCATGGCTGGGTGAATGCTGGTCAGATGTGTTTAATTAAATACCAGTGAAAGATAATAAATCCATTTTTATTTTTTTTTATTTCTAAAAATGGACAACAGCTCTTCATCCATGTCTTTGGTGACCTCTGATCTCCTTATGAACTGTTTCTTCCATGATGAAGATCAGCCATGGAGTATATCTGAGGTGTATATCAGGGTGTGCTTCTTCCCCACATGAGAGCTGGGATGTCCAGCAACATTCATCTAGAAGACATTTCCCGCACTCAATTCACTAATACACCTCCAGGGTTGTGTGGGACCCCTGATGTACAGGAAGACAGGACTTCAGTGAAGAACATTTCCCTCACTCAGGACAGGAAAGGGGCTTCTCCCCGTGTGAGACTTCTGATGTCTGTAAAGATTGGACTTCACTGAAAAACAATTCCCGCACTCAGAACAGGAATACAGCTTTTTCCCCTATGTGGGAGCTCTGATGTGCGACAAGTTCTGATTTTTGTTTAAAACTTTCTCCGCACTCAGAACAGAAATACGGCTTCTCCCCCCCCATGTGCACTCTCTGGTGTTTGTTAAAATCAGACTTGTCTGAAAAGCATTTCCCACACATAAGACAGGAATGCGGCTTCTCGCCCGTGTGCAATCTCTGATGTGTGTTAAGATTTGTTTTCCGTGAAAAACATTTCCCGCACTCAAGACAGGAATACGGCTTCTCTCCCGTGTGAGTCCTTTGGTGTGAGACAAGTTCTGATCTTTGTTTAAAACGTTTCCCACAATCAGAACAGGAATACGGTTTCTCCCCTGTGTGGTACCTCTGATGTGTGACAAGTTCTGATTTTTGTTTAAAACTTTTCCCGCACTCAGAACAGAGATATGGCTTCTCATTTGTGTGTACTCTCTGATGTTTGTTAAAATGAGACTTGTCTGAAAAGCATTTCCCGCACATAAGACAGGAATACGGCTTTTCCCCCGTGTGCAATCTCTGATGTGTGTAAAGATGAGACTTCTGTGCAAAACATTTCCCGCACTCAGGGCAGGAATATGGCTTTTCCCCCGTGTGAGATCGCTGATGTGTGACAAGATCTGATTTTTGTTTAAAATCTTTTTCACAAACAGAACAGGAATACGGCTTCTCATCTGTGTGCAATCTCTGATGTTTGTTAAGAACAGACTTGTCTGAAAAACATTTCCCGCACTCGGGACAGGAATACGGCTTCTCCCCCGTGTGGGATCTCTGATGCAGGACAAGTACAGATTTTTTTTACAAAGTATCTGCCACACTCAGGACAGGAAAACGGCTTCTGCCCCATGTGCAGGCGCTGATGTGTTCTAAGATTGTTCTTTTGTGAAAAACATTTCCCGCACTCAGTACAGGTATACGGCTTCTCCCCCGTGTGAGATCTCCGATGGGTGAAAAGTTGTGATTTATGTACAAAACCTTTCCTACACTCAGGACAGGAATATGGCTTTTCCCCCGTGTGAGTAATCTGATGTTTGTGAAGATTGGACTTAAGAGAAAAACATTTCCCGCACTCAGGACAAGAATATGGCTTCTCTCCTGTGTGAGATCTTTCATGCATATTAAGACCAGATTTAAATCGGAAACATTTCCCGCACTCAGTACAGGAGAATCTCTTCCCTGTTGGCAGGCCGGCCCGGTCCCGCACAGTCTGAGGTTCCTCAGGATACGAGGAATCCGATGGTCCATCTACACTGGGTGGTGCCGCATGGACATTGGAGGGAGCCGGGTTTTCTCCTGGACTATACTGTGTGATGTCCTCATCTTCTACTTTCCAGTCTGGAGACAAAGTGAGACAATCCTCGGAGGTTTTCCTCATCTCCCAGCCGTGGACTAAAATACAAAGACAAAGAGGATTACTAGACAGGAGCTGATTGGTTCCCCCAAAACCAGGACTCCGCCCACATCCACAGGTCAGCCAATGGGTTATGAATATTTATCTCCTAGGAGGGAGATAACAGGTCAGCCAATCTCTGAAAGGGGGAATCCCAGAAGGTGTGTGGGGAGAAGATAAATGTTTGGGAGGGCTGTTCTGATCCCTCTCAGTCCCGGGGCCTCTGTCCTGGGAGGCAGCCTCTGTTACTCAAGAGTTGTTGCTGTCAGGCCTCAGCATGTGCTTGGGTGAGGGTCTGATAGATCGTGGAATTAAATGCATTTGCTGGAGGACACAGCCCTGGTATTGGAGCTGACAGCCCCTGCATAGGTAAGGGGCACCCATTTATTTCCAGCAGCCCTTCCAAGGGTGGGCACTACCTACCATAAAGCACATGTGTCAAAACACAAGGGCTGCGGGCCAAATCTGGCCCTCGAGGCCCTTTCATGTGGCCCTCTCACTTCTCCTTCAGCTGCGACATCCTCCTCAGCTTGGCCCCCACCTTGTTTAACTCCTTTCCTCAAGAGGATTTAACCCCCTTCCCGACCAGGTAATTTTTTGCATCAAAGCGCTGTGTTACTTTAACGGACAATTGCGCGGTCATGCAACGCTGCACCCAAATTAAATTTATGTCTTTTCAGTGGTATTTGATCGCCTGTGCGGTTTTTATCTTTTGCGTTAGGACAAAAAAAAAGACAATTTTGAGGAAAAAATATATATTATTTTTTAGTTTTTGCTATTAAACATGTCCAGTAAAAAAAAAAAAAAAAAAAAAAAAAAAAAAATCAAATTTAGATCAAAATGTATTCTGCTCCATGTCTTTGCTAAAAACAAAATCCCAATACGTGTAAATTAATTGGTTTACGTTAAAGTTATAGCATCTACAAATGGCGGTATATATATACTGGGGTATTTCCCCCCCCCCCTTTTCAGTTTTACTAGTAATGTCAGCGATCAGCGACTTCTAGTGAGTCGGCAGCGGGCATTCTGACACTGGGGGGGAACTGACTGTGTCACTGACATCCCCAGTGACACCAATACAGTGATCAGTGCTAATAAAAAGCACTGACACTGTACTAATGGCACTGGGCAGTAAGGAGATAACATGTGTAACATTTGCATTTCCTACCCGGAAATGCAAAAAAAAAAAAAAAAAAAAAAAAAAATCACATATATACAGTTGTGTTCAAAATAATAGCAATGTGTTGAAAAAAGTGAATAAAGCTGAAAATCCTTCTAATAGCTTTGATTTCCATCCACACAAATGCATTGGGAACACGACACATTCTATTCCAAATCAAAACATGAAGAAAAAATACATCAAATTTGTGTTGTTCCTCTAAAAAAAATTGAAGAAAAGTGAATATTAGACGGTTCAAAAAAATCGCAGTGTTTGTATTCTTCTTTACAAACTCAAACATTCACTATATAAACTGAGAAATGTTTGAAGATTTTGCTTTCCTTTGAATGACTTCATGAATATTTGGTTGTAGTCGCACTGTTTCTGAGAACTGCTGTACATCTGTGTTGTATGGAGTCCCCCAACTTCTGGCACCTGTGATCAGGTATTCCAGCCCAGGATGATTGGACTACATTCCACAGTTCTTCTCTATTTCTTGGTTTTGCCTCAGAAACGGCATTTTTGATGTCACCCCACAAGTTTTCTATTGGATTAAGATCCGGGGATTGGGCTGGCCACTCCATAACGTCAATCTTGTTGGTCTGGAACCAAGATGTTGCACGTTTACTGGTGTGTTTGGGGTCGTTGTCTTGTTGGAACACCCATTTCAAGGGCATTTCCTCTTCAGCATAAGGCAGCATGACCTCTTCAAGTATTCTGATGTATTCAGACTGATCCATGATCCCTGGTATGTGATAAATAGGCCCAACACCGTAGTATGAGAAACATCCCCATATCATGATGCTTGCACCACCATGCTTCACGGTCTTCACAGTGTACTGTGGCTTGAATTCAGTGTTTGGGGGTCGTCTGACAAACTGTCTCCGCCCACTAGACCCAAAAAGAACAATCTTACTTTCATCAGTCCACAAAATGTTGCGTCATTTCTCTTTAGGCCAGTCAATGTGCTCTTTGGCAGATTGTAACCTCTTCAGCACATGTCTTTTTTTCCAACAGTGGGACTTTGCGGGGGCTTCTTGCAGATAGCTTGGCTTCACATAGGCGTCTTCTAATTGTAACAGTCCTCACAGGGAACGTCACACACTTCTTTCATCTTCCTGGAGCTGATTGTTGGCTGAGTCCGCCCCATTTTGGCTATTCTTCTATCCATTCCAATGGTAGTTTTTTTGCTTTCTTCCACATCTTTCAGGTTTTGGTTGCCATTTTAACCATTAGCCGCCCGGCCAATAGCCGTTTGGCGGCTTTTCTTGAAAAGCGCTGCAGCTTTCCGGGTCCACGCCATTTGGCGTGCTCCCGCACATGCGCCGTTTGCGCTATTGCAGAGCGGCGCAGCAGCGGGATCTGTCACCGCCCGTGCACCTCGGACACGGCCGATGACAGATCCGAGTACCGGCTCCCGTTGCCGGTACCATGTGACCTGCCGCGACCAATCACAGCAGGTCACATGACAGTTGTATACAATGGATGGCTTCATTCATGATGCCATCCATTGTATACTAGTGCCTAGCTGTGAATGGTCACAGCTAATCACATGCACATGTCATGTGATTAGCTGTGACCAAATCACAGCTAAGCACAAAAAAAAAAAAAAAAAAAAAAAAAAGCTGAATGAATCGATTTCATTCAGCTAAATGCTTGCTTATAGCAAAAGTAATTCTTTGCTATAAGCAAATTGTGTAAAAAAAAAAAAAAAAAAAAAAAATACTGATCACTTCCCCAAAGTAGTACAATGTTACTATGGTAACATTGTACTATTTTGGTCATAGTAAAATATGAAAAAAAAATCTTTAAAAAAAAAATAAAAAAAAATGTAATAACAAATTAAATATAATAAAAAAATAAAAAAAAATTAAAAAAAAAATATAATTTTTTTTTTTTTTTCATACTGTCACCAGTCAGTGATCATCCTGTTCACCGCCATGCCAGTTATATGATGACTTGTGTAATGCACTGGTGACCAGTATGTAAAAAAAAAAAATAGTAAAAATAATATTTTTCATTTTTTCATTTTCGGGAAAAATTATGACAAAAAAATACAACTTCAAAAAACTCGCCATGCCTCTTATGAAGTACGTCGGACTGTCTACTCAGCAAAAAGGGGTCATTTGGGGATATCTGTACGCTGACATTCTTGGACCCCAAACCCTAAGAACATTAGATTGGCTCTCAGTACTTCAGGATTGGATTGTATCAATATTCAGATCTTTACCATAGTTTGTGAACTCTATAACTTTCCTACAAAACTAAATAATACATCCTAATTTGGGTTTATTTTCACCAAAGACATGTAGCAGAATACATCTCGGCCCGTAAATTTATGAAGAACAATTATTTATTGTAAACTTTTATAACAGAAACAAAGAAAAAATGGTGTGTTTTTTTTTTTCAAAATTTTTGGTCTTTTTTTGTTAATTTAGCAAAAAATAAAAACCCCAGCGGTGATTAAAATACCACCAAAAGAAAGCTCTAGTTGTGTGAAGAAAATGATAAAATTTTAGTTTGGGTACAATGTGTTGTATGACTGCGCACATTGTCAATTCAAAGTGTGAGAGCGCTGAAAACCTGAAAAATGGGCCTGGGGCAGGAAGGTTGTAAAATTACATTGCACGGTATTGAAACGGGTTTTAAAGCATTTGCGATCCATTTTAGCTGAGCAGCCGATCAATTTCTGCACTTTATATGTTTTTCCTCTCTCCAATCAACTTTTTAATCAAGGTACGCTGTTCTTCTGAACAATGTCTCTGGAACCCACCCATTTTCCTCAGAATTTCAGAGAGAAAAAAGCACTGTAACCAGAATGTACTACATTTGTGCCTTCTTCCTTAAATAAGGGCAATAATCACTACACTCGCCACCTGTATTATCCTCAAAAAACTGAATGACCACTCACTAATAGAACTCCACACTGCTATTATTTTGAACACGCCCCTTTCACAATGAGTGATTCAAAAACACAGAATCAGCAGCATGCATGTCATGACTTCTTGGGTCTGTTGGATTTCTATTACTCTACTACACCTGCTAGGAAATTATTTGCCATGTAGAAAAATATCAATTTCTACCAAACACGAACAGTGATTAATCCGGTCCCAGTGATGTCTGACTGCTATATTTTTGAACACAAACTAGCTTGTGTATATATAGCATATATCATATATAAACACACACACACACACAATACATACACACACATATATATATATATACACATACATACATACGCACACATACACACATATAAATATATACACTATACATACACACACACACATGCATTCATACATAAATAAATACACACACTGCTCAAGAAAATGAAAGGAAGACTTTGAAAACAAATCAGATCTCAATGGGGAACGAAATCTCCTGCTGGATATATAATATATACAGTCATGGCCGAAATTGTTGGCACAACCTTGATATTTTTCCTGAAGAATCAAGTATTTCACACAAAAAAAGGTATTGCATTAACACATGTTTTTGCTATACACATGATTTTATTCCCTTTGTATGTATTGGAACAAATAT